AGGCTAATTTAGTATTAAACGTTTTACTGATTCTTTTAAACTCGTCTGAAATTTTCGGAACATAAGGCAGTACAAACCATGAATTAAAATCGCTGCTGATTTCGTCAATTGATTCTTTCTGTTGTATCGTACCTTTATGAAAGAGAATTTTTAAACGTGTATTAATAGTATTGAAAATTAAGTCAATAGGATAGTTATTCTTTAATAAAGTACTAACAATATGTTCCAAATTTTTCTGGTGATACTTCGGGTCCGATAGTAAAAACGCTCTATCTGTCAAACTTGTTATTATGCCTCTTTTTTGTGAAAGTGGGTGTGTCGATAGAAAATTAAGGTATCTTCCCGAATATGTAGGCTTATGGTACCAGTCAAATTCCATTACATTGTTATTATTAATAATAGTAATATCCAAAAAATTTATTTTGTCGTCACCAAATTCTAAGGTAAATTTTAATCTGTCATGCAATGAATTAAAAGTCTCAAGTGTAAAGTCAACCAGATTCCTTGGAACTGCCATAACGATATCATCAACGTAACGAAAATAAAACAAAGGTTGAAAACCCAAAATTTCCAGTGCCCTTGCCTCCAAATCCCTCATTACTAAGTCGGCCAAAATTGACCTGACATGTCTTTCCGATTATATTAAGTATTATTCATGTGCTGTTCGAGCTGCGATCAACATGTTTCTTAACTCGATACTTTATATTAAATATTAATTGTAATTAGTTGATCCAATGTTTATACGAATTCCTTGGTTGTCATGTGGTGAGTCACCAGTTTTATAGTTTAATGCTGGACGAGATTTAAACAATGATTCAAAAGAGATCGATGATGAAGTCGAGGGGATTGACTCTCACTTTTCTTTCCATAATTTCAATAACACGTCTAAACAAAATAATTTAATTAAAATTGACATTGATGCGAAAAAATTCGCAACAACTTGTGACAACTCGTCGTTGAATAATTTAAGGGAGGGTTGGTTTGTCAATTTGGCTTCGATTTCTGTTCCTAAAGAAGTACAATGTTTATTACAGTTGGGGAGTAATTTTTCATTACCCTCTATTAATAAGAAATTTTCATTGTTTGAATGCATCAAAGGCATTGAAAGCAATTTAAGGAAGTATAGCACTGAACAGATGGCTATGATTAGAAACATTACATTACCGATCCTCAAAAAACTATCATCTTTTTCTTTTGAAAAAACTGAAGTTAATACGAAGATCATTCAGTTGTTTAAGACCACTAAAGATTTTCTAAGGCAAAATCCGAATGTCATCTTAACAAAAGCTGACAAGGGAAATATCACAGTGGCATTAAATAAGAATGACTACAGGTCTAAAGTCTTGCAGATGCTTGAAGACAAGGAAACCTACGTAAAATTATAGAAAGATCCGATTAATAAACTGACTAACGATGTAAGAGATTTGTTAATGAGATGGAAAAAGAAAAATTTTATTAATGATTTATTGTATAAAAAATTATCTTGTAGCGAAGGTGTTCTCCCGAGAGTGTATGCTTTACCGAAAATACATAAACCAAATTGCCCGTTCAGACTAATAGTTGCATCTATAGACAGTCCGTTATATTCCTTGGCCACTTTCATACATAACGTCATCTCTAACAATGTACCTAAATCGACTTATAATATTGACAACAGCTTTC